TGTTCACCATTAAGGATACGAAGATGTTCACATTCGAGAAGTATTTACCAGTAGAGACTTTACTGCATAATAATACGATCTTCACAGCACCAAATTGCTATAATCATAGAAAGAAAAATATGAATAATTCAATATCATAAATGTGACGATAACTAGAATAGTTTTTGTACACATACTAAATGTAAAATGAATTGCAATAAGATATTTCAGTGTTTTATTTTATTTCAATTTGATACCGCATGATAAAACATAACATATTTGTCTTGATACTACTTTAACTAGTAAACTAAGAACTAGGCTGTATAACATATATTATCTAACTCTCTTATTATATAAATTTTCATGCTCGATATTAGCCATTTTTTCGAAGAGTAGTTATAGTCAAGTTAAAAGATTGACATGACGTCTGATTAATTCTTGTTGTATTTTAAAAGAAACTCACCTAGTTATTTTAACAATGGCGTATTTTCGCTATTCTATTATTAGTTATACGGCGTTTACATGAAGACATTTTTTGAAAATGATTATTACTTCCAGCTAGTTTATATTGTATTGAAATGTTTCTACGTACAATCATCTCAAGTCGAGTATTTATTTAATAGTGAAAAAGTCGGTCTTTTTTGGTCTTTTTTTCAGTTTGTTTATTTATGCTTTGATAAATCAAGAGGATTCTCACATGAACCAGAAGACTCAATCTTTTTAAGGATTCTAATTGACACTCATTTTCAATAAAATCTATTAAGTATCAGCAGTATTCGTAAACAAAGCAGCAGCTAAAAAACTCGACAATAAAATAAAAAACTTTGATCTTATTTGACGTTAAAGAAGCAATAAAACTACATCAGTTACAGCATGCAAAATTAATAATTTCTCATCAATCCAATCCTAAGTTAGTGGCATTTCGATTTAATTATAGTGTAAACACAGAACATTTTTGGAACATATTAAATGTGTATTCGCGTTATCGTTTGATTATGAAATTTATAGAATAGCCTTCGCATTTAGTTTAATTTCGTCATCGATACACATGTCCAAGCATCCCAAAGCAAACTACTTGTTATTTGTGTAAAACAAAAATGAACTAAACGATAATTTCAAATCAGACAAATATTATATTCAGAAGAGCAATAAAAATCGAGTTGGCTTATTTTTGCTACAAATGTTTTACTCAGCTTTATCTCTTCAAACTTCTGCCCGTATATCTGTCAAGGTATATGTGAGATAATACATTTTCATGAACACAATTATAATATACTTTTTTAGTCACCTGTATTTTTTGTATTTTGATAGCATTTCACTAGTTCAGAATCTGATTTTCTTGGTCATAATAGCTTTTGAATAAAATTATGCTCCCACGCATCCGTAAGTGAGTTTTCGATTGAAATGTTGATCAGAGAAATTCATGCGTTCAGAAATTTCGTTGCATACATACACTAAACATTAATATTGCTCGTCTGAATATAATATTTGTTTGATTTTAAATTGGTACTATCCTGAATAAAAGCTATCAAATAGCAGTGGCAAATGCTAAAAGGTTGAATCTCACAAACTATAAAATTATGATGTAGTTCACTTTTGTTTTACGCAAATAACAAGTAGTTTGCTTTGGTATACTTGGAAATGTGTACTGATGACGAAATTAAACTAACTGTGAACGCTATCCGATGAATTTAATAATCAAACGAAAACGTGAATACACATGAATATTTCAGGTTACAAGCAAAAAACATTGTTTGAGACGAAAGATTTCATTCATAAAATATATTCTAAAATTCTGAATCCGTCTTTATTTTTATAAATTAATTTCCATCAATCGAATGGTCACATATGTAATTGTTATCAATAACTGATACACATTTATTATACAGTGAAACATAATGAAACACCCGAAGAAATGGAATATCATAAAGCAAAAAATGTAATCATGATGAATAATTATCGACAAACAAAAAATAGTAATCATAAGAAAAATAATTTTCTCCATAGTTGTATTTAGTTGAAAATCTAGTATTAAAGTAAGTAAAAAAGAAATGTTTCGTTACAAATTAAATAATAAGTACTTCTAATGGAATATTTTTGTCTTTCATAAATTAGTTAGCACCGTGTTCATACTTGTGATTGATGATGATGAATTATAAGCAACAACAAAGAAGATGCACCGCCTGTTTACCAAATCGTACGCCGTCCATGTAAAGTTAACAGTAAAAAATTAGATTGTATCATTTACTTTTATTGGGTATCCTTGATACTTTTCTGTACGTATCAAAATCAAAATAAAATAAAATCTATTACATTTTATTTCAATGATCGAGACTTGTTACAAGTACCAACGATGGATTTATGTAAATTTTACATAATAGAATATTGTTCATTTAGACTTTAGTTACTCGATGCTCCATATATTTTTCCGTATCGCTGTATGCTCCAAGTTATGCATACTGATTTAATAGCTGTTAGAATCAGTAGAACACAGTTTGTGTCTATATATTATAGAATATATATATATTGTCATCTTGAACATAAATTTCTAACTGCATATTTATTGGTGAAAAATTGAAAACTTATTAAGTTTTTTAAACTTCTATTAATATCTTAAAATAAATAAACAGTCTGCTAAGATTCTATTTCATTCTGTTCAAACACAAAAATAGGTAACTTTAATGATTAATTAGTCTATCAGCGTGTGAAGATATTTAAAAACCAAAAATAAAAATTTCAATGTCTCCAGGGGAATTTCTGTTCAAATTCCTTTCTATATAACGAGTACAAAATTCCACAGCTGTGATAATTATCACTTGATATCTATTTCTTATTGGATTTAATTGAAAAATAAAATGCAGTGAGTTATATTTTTGTAGATAATACTTGATAACTAACTGCATGCCAGCGACATCAAGCAAAACATTCTTTTATCTTTTTAAATTTCATTTCGTATAATTATAATTTTTCATCTTTCTTTTATTATTTGAAAACTTATCTTATAATCCGTAAAAAGTCGACATTTTTGTTTTAACTAAACATATACGTAACTATGGATGTATAGTAGCGAAATAAATGTAGTAATCAAAAACTAATTCAAAAGGATTGTATTGAAAATGCTAAATATCTAATAAACTTGTACAACAAGCAGAAGCAAAGCAAAGCAGAATAGAATAGAATGTATTCTGTTTTCTGAGGCGTGATAGATGAACTGATGTTTTACTTTTACATTCATTAAATAGTTAATCATACATTTTCTATTTTTGGTTGAGTAATGAAAATATTGTCCTCCTGTAGTTTTCTCAAGATAGGAGTTCTCAAGAGAGTCTTATTAATATCAAAATTTCTTGAGATGTAATAAAAAAATCTTAAGATGCTCTATTTAATAATCTGATTGAAGCGACAATAAATACTAATTAGAAGAAAAGTATCAGTTAGATATCAGTTCAAATTTACTAATCTTTATCTATTTGTTTTTAATTAAATCTTAACTTACCTGACTCAACTCATTGAAGTGTTAATGCATACAAAAATGATTCTTTCTAGACCAGTTTTAGTAGAAATATTATCAATTCGTTGGTAATTACTTTCCTTTAGTTTCATAATGTTGAATGACATTTTCATCTGTCAAACACAAATAATTATACAGATTGGGAAAGTAATTTTGTGTACACCGTATCCAATACGAATTTTGTAGCTCTTGGTCTTTTATTAATTTTAGAAAAATTCTATTTAAATATTCAATTAAACAATAAAAATCACCATCACAGCAATTTGGTTTTTTATTTACCAAAATATTCAAGTCAGTCATTGACCTATTTGAAAAACAAGCGTTTATGAAATTTTCTTATGAACTTTACTTCTAAAATAATATTCTAGGGCAATTATGTGCTTATATGAATGTTTTTCGCAACATGAACAGCAAAATATCTCATACTTTCTTTAACTAATTAGCTCATGTTATTATCCTTGTGTATTAGAAAGACATACTTTTAGGAAATACGATACATATGAAGTCGTAAGATCTCGCTTTTATCTCGTGGTCATATTTCAAAAAAGCAAAGCTTTTTTCTTTCATATACAGTTCTTCTTTTAACATTGTATATGTGTTAATCGTTGTTGGAATGGCCTTCACTCATAGGCGGCGAACCCATTAGGCTTGGGGAGGCTCAAGCCTAAAAAACGGAGAAGAAGGCTTAGAGAGGCTCATTTAATTTGAAAAAAGTGTTGTAGAAACAGACCACCTATTAGTACCAGATTTGTTTTGTTTTTAATTTCACCTCTCATCATCCTCATCCTCTGAAAACAATTTTGAGTCTCCCCTAGATTGAAATGGTTCCGCCGCCGTTGTCTTCAATTTTGTGCGCACTCCTTCACATTGCTCTTGTTTCTTGAAATCCTGAGTACATTGACAGCCTTTCATTATCTTTCACTTTCCTCAATGTTATTATTTTGGTACCTTTAAAGCGTAGTTGCATCACCGTTAAGGATACAACGACCTCAAATGTTCTATGACTAGTAAAAATTTATTTTGTTTGGTCTATATTTATTTTTCTACTTTTTTCAGATCGTAGCTATCTCATTATTTTTATAGGCAACTAAGATATCGATATTTTTATTATGGTTTACTAGCATTTTATATGTTAAAGAAACGAAGCGATCTCATCAAAATGTATTTGCTTATAAGAAGAAAAAAAACTATTTTACTTATTAATTCATTAATTTTAATTACTTATTTTTGATTCTGCTTCGTAAACAGATGCAAGGATTTATTGAAATAAGGATAGTTCTTCGTTTCCTTTCTGTTGCTTTGTGTTTTTTTTTTACATAATGAAATATAAGCTCGTATTAATTATGACACATAAAAGATTTCAATTCTGATTAGTACAAAATAGAGATTTATTTTTCCGTAATACATGATTACTCTTTAGAATACTCTGTTTGATAAAAAGTTGAAAATTAATTTCTTTGTTTATGTGACACAAATAACTTAATTGATTTCATTATGTGATCCACAATTTATGTATAATATTATCATAGAACAAGAACAGGAAAGTAAGGCAGAATAAGAATAAAAAAGGGACAGAAACTGAAAGAGAAAAAAAAGGAAAAAATATAGTTTTTGTTTAATTGGTGGATCTAGCTAGAATTCTTTTTTTTTCTTTTTGTTGTTATTTTGATGATTCATTATTTCCTCTCATAAAACAGATAGTCATCAGTACCATATTCACTCATTCTTTTCTAACATACAAGACGGCAACATTGAAATCGGCGTAACAATAATAATAATCAGGTATTGGAAACAACACATTGCTAGTACGCGATCCGTAATATCTTTAACTTGTCTGCTATTAGTAAAATTTCATATAAATACTTATTCAAATCAATAGGATAACGCTTTTCTATCTCGACTTATCATCGATTAAGAATGACAGTAATATTCAAGCTTTGCCGAAAGATCGAGAAAATTTTCATTTTTAGAGAATAAACTTAAAACAAAAGGCGTCTTGACTTGTTCTGAGATAATGTCAAGTCATTCTCAATTCACTTGGTTTTGGACGTGTAGATACTTGCAATAATCCTATTTATAGACAACTTGATATTACAAGCATCGTTGATGTAAAATGTAAAGAATACTTTACTGTCTGTAAATATATAATGTAAATGTCCTTTTGACAGTGGAAATTGTCATTATAACCTCAGAAGAATAGTACATTTTGCTGAATCATACGATTATACTTACGCTTTAAAATTTAATTAAAGCGTAAATTTGGCTAAATTGCCACCATCATATTGATTTAATCGATACATTCATATCTGTTTCTCGTCAATTTATGAACTACACTAGTCTATATATCGCTTTTATTATTTTTACAAAATATAACCCTTATGAGAAAAACAAAATTCCACTATGTTCTTTCTCTATTTTTTTTAGACTGCATATGGATCTCTGCAAAGTCTTACTATAGTTCTAATATTTGTCGTTTTATTTTTTAGTATGATGATGTTTCAATCATATATTATCATCTGCTCAATTATCTTTGGTCTTGTTTTAACCAAACCCATAGAAGAAAAATTCGAAAATGAAAACAAATCTGAAGTTGTATCAAGTGAACAAGCTTTCCGACAAGCTGAAATGATTCTTCATCGTTATTTTTATTTAATTAAATCCGACACAGATCACCTTGTTCATGCTATGTTGCATATGATAATAAATAATCCAAAGTCATTTCCATTCGTTCCACTCCGTGCATTAGATATAGCATTGACAAATTTTGAAAACAAATTAGGTCAAGATGACAAGAAAATCTTAATAAAACCAATATTGTTGTCTTTTGAACAAAATGCTCAAAATAAATTGAAACAAACACCACCACTTCAAATATCCGATGAAGTCAAAAGTGAAATAGAAGACGCATTGGACGAATTTTTTGAAAAACATGATAACAGTTCTTATCTATAAAATAAAAAAATTGTTTCTTTCTTGTGCTTGAAGACATGAGTAAAAATACAAAAAAAATACTTCTATACAAGCATATTTTCATATATGTTGTTTTCATGTTGTTTGTCTAAGATTTGTTGAAACGACATATTTATTCGTCTAATCTATAAATGTCATAAATCCAATCAACCGATTTTAATCATTAAAATATTATCTAAAAAGAAAAAAAGATAAGGTCTAATAATATTGATCGTGCACTGCTGACAATTTTGTAAAGATAAATTAACTTGATTGTCTATTTTTCATGAATTTAACAATCATTATTTCCGTATTGCTTTTATATTTTTAACCGTTAACAAACTCTTATCAGATTTTATAAGAAACCCTATTGTATTCATATTCTTATTTATCGTTAGACTAATATCAAACCTATTAGAAATTCTTCAGTACTTAGTAATTGATCAGGGTGAAAATTATCTGTTCTAGTATAAATATTCAAATTATTATATATAAATATGTTGAAGCGTGAAAGATTGTTACTTAAAGTAACCATAATAAAAATGCTAATTAGGCGAGTATTTAAAAAACTCAACAGACTAACGTGTTTATTGAATGTTTATGAAAATAAAAGTATAGAATTACGATGAAAGAAAGTTAAAAAAATGAATTATTTATTATCTAAGCTATGCATATATTCATAGAGCATACGCTTGTTGCCATTATATTTGAAAATTATGAACAACTATCAAATTATAGAATAAACGAATTTTTAATTTGGCGCTTTTTTGCTTTTGTACAAGAGGTTTAATGTAAACAATTAATAAAATTTATACTGTGTTCAAGTACTTATCGTAAGAGGTTCTATTCATGTAGAAAAGCTCTAGTATTGTAATTGGTTGATTTTGCGTAGGTAGTTCTAAATTACTTTCTTAGACATCATTGTTAGAAATGTTTGCAAAGCTTTATTGAAGTAAATTACATTGAATCATATTCTGAAAATACTATTGCCATATTGTTTTGAGATCGTTGATACGTCCGATAAATGTTTAAGACAAGATAGATCGCAGTGAACTCTTTAATTAGTGATATCACCTATTCTGTTTCCTTTTTGTGTACTCAAAAAGTGAGTACACTCTAGATTCGGTCAGTGTGTCCGTCCGTTAACACGATAACCTTTGAAAACCTCATCCAATTGTCATGAAACTTTGTACGCAGAATGATCTCATTAATATCTCAGTCGAGTTCGAAGATGAGAAGGATCCATCAAGAAATAGCTGGGTTATCGAAAAAATTGTCATTATTGACGAGTCCACCCTGCGGGGGAGGAGGGTACAGGGATTTAAAAAAAAAAAACTTTTCTCAGAATTATTCCCAACATAGATACATCGACTCAGTTTTTGCAGTACACATAGCAATCGGATGCAAATCCGGTGTTTCCGCATGGATTACTTATAACATTCTTCTTTCTGCCAGGGCTTAATTAAATAAAACCTAATTGATTGAGACGATTCTGTCGTTATAAAAGTCAAGCAGAAAATTTTTGATATAAAAACTATTATTTTGTAGACATGAAAGCCCCGGATGTTTTTTTCTTCTAGATTCTTCATTTTCTTCACCTCTAGTTGCATGCTGTGAAAGCACTCGATTGAGAGCGATTGCTTTAAGACGTTTCTTTTGCGTAGTGAAAGGAAACAATTGTACCAAATAGAAATAGAGATATTAGGGAAAACACATTCAACTAAAAGAATTCACGAGATATCCGTATCATTATGATAGATAGGAAAACGCATGAAAGAGTGAAATCCTGAATGGTCGGCATGACCTTTTGACGAGAATGCAGAATTGGCGAAGGAACAAGTTTTATAGGTCAAAAATACAACTTACAAGTTTCTTAAAAATATCTATTCGAACGTGAGCAGAAGCAAGAGGTAGTATAATGCAACAAATTAAAGTATGCTGATGATGAATAGAGGTAAATTGAGTTGTTTTCAAAAACTCAATGACTAATTGAATACAAAAGAAATATTTTCAAAAATTACTTGATGAAAGAAACAATCTTAACGTTGACAAACAATACAGAACGTAGGTATCCTAATTCAAATTCATTGTACCTATTCGAGTTCAATGATCTGGCTCATCGTAGAAGTACAAAGATAAAAAGTTAACTGCGCATGACACATTTAGTCTAAAATACTTACATTTTAAAATGTTCGCAGTATTTTCAATTTTGAAACTTTTAAATAGAGCATACAATAGATAGGAAATTCTTGTGTTCATAAAAATGTCTTCCTCTATTTATAAAAGATACCTTTTTAAAATGTTTTTCGATAAACTCTATCGAACCATGACAAAATAATTATACTGTGAGCACCTTGAAAATTGAATATCTTAGTATATGCATGTTGTAACCGTTCACATTACAAACAATAGCAGCGCACAAAAGCATATCCATCAGCATCTCGTGATTTTTAAGACTCAATTTAGTAGACTCACCACCTAGGCTAAGAAAAATCAGGAGTCTATGATAATTTTTGATTCAATTATGGTTGCCAACGGGTCCTGTCTTCATGATCTACTAAATGAATACGTGCCCATTCATTTATAGTAATTTAATTCATCATACGAGCGTTCGGTTGACATTGACTAATCAATGATAAAAGTTGATTCAAAATTATTCTCATAGTTCTTGATTCAGAATATATTCTTTTCAAAAACAAAATTATTCATTAAAAAAAGGATTTCAAATGTATTGAATCTTATGCAAACCTACGATTATTTGTACTCGTAGTTTAGAATAACCATATAATGATATTCGAGCTGTTATTACAGTGATATAAATAACTGAGCTCATAGATTATAACGTAATCAGTAGAATTTTGAAAGTACTACGAAGAAAACTACATAAGCATCATGTCAAAAACAAAGTGAATTACATTTGAAAAATGAATAGTTCACTATTCGTGAACCAAGTTATCGAAAATTTTCGACTGATATTGGATCGCTCTGATCAAGAATAGTACTATTCTCAGTTTTGTAACAAGCATTTGATATAAAAGCAAAACAAAAAAGAAAACACGACTAATTTGTGCATCAAAGATTATTTTTGTGACTTCTTATTGTTATCAAATTTTTACTACTACGTTCACTAAGGAATGAGTAGGAACATGAATATAATCGAAACTACATTACTGAAGGGAAAAACAAATTGGAAAGTTATGAGATTTTATTGTCAGAGCAGAAGAAAGACGAGTAAATAATATAACAATTGCGGCCATTATATTTATGTTCCCACGCATACCAGAAGGCTTCATTCGTGAAAATTGAATCACAAGGGTAATCGTAGAAAAGAAAACTTGGACATGCTTTAATCTACTCGACTTTCTTTTTGCACTAATATGAAATATTATGCTTTTTTTTCAAGTGAAATCAATACTATTCTGCTATAAAACCAATAAATATTAATTAAGAAGTTTGAAAATTAGATCTCGCAAATTGTGAATTGTTATTTCTTACAATTTGATATGATTTTTTGCACAATACTAAACAGTCTGCTTTCTAACGCCCAAAAATCTTTGCCGACTGTAATATGAACACAATAACAAATACGTTGCATAGAAGTATTTTAAACTCATAATGTAGGCAATGGAAAACTTGTGGATGATTTACTGTAGAGTAAAAACATCGTTTTAAATGAATGCTACTATTAGGAAAACGTCCGTTTGAGCATGGAACATTTGGAATTCATTCGAATGATTCTTATCGATGATTGCGCTATTTTATCATACGAAATGTTGATGTATATGAGTATTATGAATAACTACCTATTCATTTAGGATGTTGTGAAAATAGGCTTTGCTCATATCTATAATTAGATCAGAATGATCAAAAGTTCATGATATTTCATTCTAAATGGGAATCCATTAAATGCGGTGATCGGACTTGTACCTACACGATAATCTCCAATCTTCTTGCATTTAAATGCATATGCATCAAATTTAAATATAACGTTCCATATTTTAACTTACTTACACACACGCACGCACGATTTACTAGATTGTTTTTCTTTGGATTGAACAGCCTCTAGAAAATATAACTTTAGAAGCTACCAAAGCAATGATAATTAAAAAAAATTTAAAATGTAACGTGATTGAAATAATCTCTTAATGAAAAATTTGTTGCGGAAGTCATAGATTCATATGAAGCTGATATTAAAAAGTTTTCAAGATCGCCAAAAACAGGAGATAACAACACGAAATAAGTCTTATTCACAATCGATGTATATTCTTTTTAGTGTTGATTATCTGAATGAAGAGAAAAAATGAACACAAACTCTATTCTATAGCTAGATGATCTATGTGATTCAACCGTATGAATAATATACCGATTAGATTTCTTAATATTTAAATCATTCAATACTACATATCTACTGTCGGACAAGATAGAAATCATATGAGAAAATCAACTCCACTTGAACTATACATCTAACGAAGGAGTAATAGGTACCTACTTAGTACTAGTACAATACATGAAACTACTGATATTTATCTGTTCTGATTTTTAGGATTTCATTAGAATTGGTCCGCTTTTCACGGGTAGCTAATCGATATTTGATAAATTTATCTGTTAGTTTGATTCCAGATTTTTCAATTGATTTTGAAAAATTGAATAACTACACAGTATTATTGCATATATGCTTGTCTCTAGCAGCAAATCTTTCATTTTACAAGATTGATTTTCAATTGCATAGCACCGTAAAAAAATATCATTATCTTTTTAGAATATAATCTGTAGGCTGTGTAGATATAAGCATTTATATTAGTGTTCATTGTTACTAACGTCGATGCTTCCAGTATTATTATTGTAATTATTATTTTTATTATTATTACAGTTAACTCTAAGGCTTTGATACCATTTTCATTACAAACAATGAGTAAAATGATGTCAGCATTAAACTAGAATTATTTTTATTCTTATTTGATAGCACACATAAATTTACATGTAATAATTCATATTTAAAAGTTTCTAAGAATAGAATAATTATTATTTAGTCAGAAGTATCATTTCCAACAGTGTACGATTATTTTCTAACGTCGGAATAACAATTTCAAGAAAGCAGAATGGATTTATATTATTTTAGGAATAGCACTTGGGGGCAAAAATCTTTGCTCTTGTATTAGAAATTGTAAAACATGAACTCGCATACATTTGGCCACAAGCTTTTTATATTTTAAAGATAAAAGTTGTTCTAATTCAATCATAAGATCTTGACATCAATAAATTAATGCAAATAATACCACAGCACCAGCGAAAATCATCATGTTAATGTGTAGAGAATTATTAGTATTATTCTGACACAAATGCTAATCTGACATCCTAGATTAAAATCAAATTATGTACGGCGATTGATTTAGGTTTGTAAAACTCAATTATCACTTCTATTTGTGATACAGAAAAAAAATGTTAATGGGAATAATAAAGTTTATGAAGTGTTTGAGTTGATTCGTTTGATTTTCTCTTGTTTCTTCTCTACATATGTCACCTCATTGTGCGATTGTTTTTTTTATCTTAATTGCATAAATCAGTGCTTCATTAACTCGTGAATATTCAAGAAAAATATTATACTTATTTCCTAGTGCTTTCTACTAGACTATGACAAGCAACATTAACGATAACAGCACATGTTTTTTGTGCTTTTCATCTACTTCACCATTGTTTTACTGCAGTACGTTTGTAAAATATAGTGTATCAATCCAATTAATGAACTAGTAAGTGAAATAATCAATTTAATGAAATCTAGATCTCTTGTTATACATATATTCACCGTTCTACTAGATTTACTAGTATGAAATCAGCCGATTATATTCGTCTATTTGTATGATTTGATTTAAATACATTTGTCGGTGTCCTTTTACAAGCGAGCATTCAATATCTTCACGATAATAATTTAACGAGTATCACATCTTTTGTTGTTGTTGTTATTGCTATTCATAAATATGATCCGAGTATCTGAATATGTGTCAAAAAAAAATATATTTAAAAGATGAACATATCAATTATTAATTCTATTAATGTATTAGCATTTTTATTAGCAATCATATTCATAGAAACATATGCCGGTATTTAAATGCAACGTCGTCAATATTTTCATGAATTAAAATTTTCACTAAACTGATAGTTGACAATTTTTTCTTTTAATTAACTGCGCAAATTTCAAACGATGTCATCAAGCTATTGTCGTAGAAAGAATACACCACATGAACAGCCACAGTACGGTAATTTATTAAATATGAAAACGAGAAAAGAACGAAGGAAAAAATGAATTATTTTCTAGTGAAAAATGAAATTCACTATTGTTGTAGAAAGTTAAAAATAATTAAAAAAAAATAAATGATTATTGAAGGGATATATTTATTCATTTTGAGCGAATTATTGTTTCATTTTCATTGTCAACGCGACGTTTGTTTTATTTTTTTCTAAATTTTTCAATGTGGACAACAGTTTTTATATAGTGAAAATCAATTATAGAAAGTACTCGTCTTCATTAGTAAATATAATCATTTTCATGGACATACAATTTAAAAAAACAACTTTTTTTAAATTTCTTAATTAATTTAATGAAGAAACACAATTTTTTTCAAATATCTAATTAAATGACAACACTACAAAAACACAAAATAAACATAGAATAATTTTAAATGTGTTCTTGAAATAATTTTGGTCCAGCATGCGACCATAATGGCGTGAATTCAAATTGTAAACGAAATCGTTGATTTTTCGATTTCCAATCTGATCGTTTAATTGATAGTTTAGGTTTTGATTCATTAGATGAATCATTTACATTTGGCAGATTCGAAGCACATATTGGTACAGTATAGGATGATGATGAATTTTTCATTGTTAAGATTTTATGTAAAGTTGGTTTTTTATGTAATAAACGTGAATTAAAATGACACCAACATGGAAAATATTTTTTAACGAGATATGGCAAACGTATTAATAAAAAGCTATCGCCGAAACGTGATAGTAAAAATAAATACTTACATATTGTTATTAAAAGTTCATTATCTTGATATAGTGAATATGCGAAATTAATTGCGAGATTATTTTTAAGAATAAATTGGTGAAATTGCTTTAAATGAAATAACATTTGTAGAATATGTTGTGGGAATGTTAGTAAAATGTATTTAAAAAGAAATATTAATAATAGATAATGAGATAAATGACAATGGGAATGTTGATGACTTAGTTTAATTAATACCGTTGTAAAAAATGAATTATTAGTTGAATTGTTTTCTAAATTTTGTTCATGCTCATTGGAACAATCTGATTCAGAAGATTCTCTTTTTCGGTTAGAATGATATCTTTTTGGCATTTCAAATAAGTATGATGAACGTAAGGGTGCAGAAAAAAATATTTTATATAAATTTCTATATGAATAATTTTTATCTTGAAATAAATTTGGATTTTTTTCTAAAATATTTGAATAGCATTTAATACACGTATTTTTTTCAATAAGTAAACGTAAAGTTTCTTGCTCATTTTCAAGTAATGAATCTTCAGAATTAAATTTATAGAAATAATTGATCATTAGACACATGAAAATCAATAAAAATATGATAAGATCTATTAATGGTAACAGTATCATGTTAAATGTTATTAATGGAAGTAGAAATATTGTTTGAGAATCTTTTGGAGTGTAAAATGTAAAATTATAAGCAAATATAAGTGCTAATGAACTAGTTAATATGAGAGCAACATTTGTATGTTTTGTTAATAAAAGATTTTGACCATTGAAGAAATATCTTGAATACGTGTTTTTTACTAAACGATAGTAACGAAGAAAATATTGAAATACACTTATTGCAATGATAAATAGATGAAATGCACTAAAATTAATTAATATTTGTTGTAAAAGATTTAATGGTAATGAATAAAATGTAGTCGATGAAGGATGAACAAGATTTGGATGATAATGTTTTAACATCAACATTGCAAAATAAACACATGAAAGGCATATATTTGAAAATGAAAATGCACGCATCCAATTCCGATGTAAACAACTATAGAGACATGATTTTGGTGGTAAAATAATCGAACGTTGATGTTGTCGTCTAAAAGGAATTTATTATATTTTATTTAAATAAGTTTTTTTGTTTATTATATAATTCATTTTCTTACATTGATCTTTTTCTTGATGGTTCTTTTTTAAATGTTAATATAAACACGAGCCCATGTTCCAATAGAGTAAGTGCAAGAAAACAAATTCCCATTATTTGAAAAAGTGAAAAACTTTTATCGCGATCAGAACGTACAGTTTGTCCATGTGAAAGATCATTTTGTTTATAATTTGGCAACAATGATGATTGATTGATTTGTGATAGAAATCCACTACTAATTTTGGTTAAAATCATTTTTTATTTAGAAAATTCATAATATAGATGATAAAAAAACGGAATCTATTTTAATCTAAAAACAAATATGCATTTAGACTATTTTCTAGAAATTAATCATATATTCAATCAAACTTATTGAAAAACAAGCACATAATCGTAGTCAACACAAAGACTGAATGTCACATCTAAGAAATAATACTCATGTTTTCTGATATAGATCCGAAAAGAAAACATATGAATCTTGATGATGTGAAAGAGTATGCTTGACGCAGCATTGATCTGAATATAGAGTTACGCGTCTATTTGAATACATGAGAAAAACAAGAGGAAAAAATTTCAGTAACGGAAACGATGAAACAGCTATAATATACGTCTCAACATTAGAATTTGCTGCATTGGATCAATCTTTTTTCTTTTTTTCTGCATAGAAGTACTCAAACACAAGCACAAACATGAAGAGAAACGGAAATATGTCTATAACGCCTATAGTATGTTCGTTAAATGATATTGTTAAACAACGAGTTTAAGGCTTTCCATAAATCCTCGCCATACTATTAATGAAGAAAAGTCTCAACTATTGTTTCCTAGATAAATTTACTAGTTAAAAAGAAATGTAAACATATTTTTATACAATATTTTATATAAAATTATTTATAATTTGAGAAAAAAATGAGAATTTTTCAATATTAACCTTTTGGATTTCATCGTAGAATTATGTGATATAAACTAAAAATAAAATTTAAGTGAAACCGTATTGCTTGTTTCTTCATATGTCTTTGAAGATAATGAATTTTTTTTTGCTTAATAGACGTAAGAAAAAAAAAAATTGATTGTTCAATCAAACGAAAGACAAGACCCTGTTGCTTGTCGTTCTCCTCCTTTTCTGTCATATCGGATTATATCTTTCCAATATAGAAACCATCGGACTTATCTTATTATTCGTACTAATATAGTTAATAAGATGGTTCTTCTCTCATGTCAGACTTGTTTATTCAAAGAACTAACTCATGTTTGCATCGCCTTGCAACTCGAACAGAAGTCTTTTCCGATCATCTGTCTTCTTCTTCTTCTTCTTCTATTCCTTCAATTATTCGATTGATCAATGCGGATAATATAATGCCGACGAGTTCTTTCTCAACATGTTATATTTGCCTATTGTGGTTAACTATTATATTTACAGTGTTCTAGTATTTTTCAGATAGAATGTCTATAACATGCCGTTTAATGTGTGAACATGAATTCACATCGGAATTTGAATTATTTGTTATGAAAACATTTTTTCAATATGAACCAATGAATATATGTTTAAAAACGAAAATACCCGATGAAATTGATTTACCCTGGTTCAAAGAAGTATTACACAAAGCTAAATATGATAATATTAGCTTGGCATTTTATGATACAAAATATCATCATTCTTTACCGATTGCTTATGCCATTAATCATCATGATAAAATAAATGGTCATGATCATTCCGATAGTCTCTACTTATCATCAAATAAAACTTGTGTATTTAAATATGAACATATTAGTGAACTGATAACTAAACTACACGAAAATATTAATCTATTTGAAAAATTTAACTCGGAAAATTTATTTCATATCTATTTTCTGGGCGTTGATCCAAATTATCGACAAAGTAAATTAGCTACCCAACTAATTGATTCATCAATATCTGTTGCAAAACAGAAACAATTTGATATGGTTTATGCTGATGTTACAGGTGATTATTCATTAAATGCATTTCTTAAACATGATTTTCAAATAATAAAATCAATTGATTATGATTCCTACGAAAATTCATACGGCGAAAAAGTTTTTCAAAACATTCATATACATAAAGGTTGCTCCATTGTAATAAAAGATTTACGAACTAAATAAATCTCACATTTATTTTTACCTTGTGTAATAAGCATCAGTATTGTTATATGTCCGTATATTTATAGAACATGCAGTATGAATTGAGGCAATTTAATTGTGAAGATTGCAGCCGAGCTAAACAAAGGCACACGCATTAATCGGAAGTAACAAAACCTCTATAGAGAAAACCGGTAAATGCAAATAACAGATCATAGATGAGGAGAAAAATAGAAAACGAACGAAGAAATAAAGTCATTATTAATCCTATTGGAAAATATCTTTTGCACGCCAAAACTTAAACTTGGCGCTGGTTAAATCAAAGTCTCATAGAAAAAATTAATTTATACAAATTCACTGAAAAAAAAACGACTACAAAATAATTCTATAGTTGAACACGTTGGTAAAAATTTCATATAAGCAAAATATTATCGTCTTAGCGAGAACAACACATTATATGATTGCTAAATCCATGTGGAGTTTTCATAATGTTCTAGAAAATAACTCATCATAATTGAAGAACCTGGGCGTCGGCGTCTCTTCAAAAACTGTGTTATAAGAGTCTAAAAAAAACTGTTGCTTACATTATTTTTCATTTCATATGCATCAAAGGAATATAAATCTTTCATGTCATTCTGAGTTCTATAGGAATTAAGATGAAAGTACTATTTACTGCCAATTCTTAGAACAAATGAATACATAATTCAGGAATTTAACCGGTTGAGAAGAAAAACAACTTCATACCACCGAAAAACCAAGCGTAAACTTGAAGGTCGATAAAAATAAATTGTTGAATTCTGCTATTTTCTTTTCAAAATGCTTGAAGATTGAAATTTTAACTTAATTAATGCATAAATTCTTAATGGATCTTGTTGAGCAGCATAGGACAATGTTAAAACTCAATATACATACATAATAAATGTAATATTGCACTTTTTCGCTCGAATAATTTCGACCATGTATACTAAATAATAATCTACTGTTATATCTTAATAACAATTTATCTAGTCGGTGGGAAAATGTTCAAAACATCAGCTATTTGATCTTGTTCTATTTTTATGGTTGATGACATTTCTTTCAAAGATAAGATTCAGGAAACAATAGGGAAAAAAAGTAATTATAAGACGCGTTTAGAAAATATGTCAAAAACATGCACAAATAGTCAATAATCAGACAGAGTAAGAAAAGAACTGAATTAAATTATTTATCGTGTCCAACATTTTCAAGATTGAACTGTTCATTATTATTTAATGACAATTAGTATTACCGGAAGAAAAAACAATATATGAATTTTGTTGTTAAATTTTCCTTTGTTTTAGTTGCACATAGAGAAATTTTATTTTCTATTTTCATTTCATTTCATTGACTCATAACTGATTTCCTATTAAATTATAAAATAAATCATATAATTCTATTAGCCTTCACAGTAAGGATACGAATATCATCATCGTTCTTGAAGCTAGGCCATATGTATATATAAGTTGTCTTACGAATTGTGAAAAATCCAATTTTGCTTATCTAATATGATAAGATTGAATCAAACTGCTATTTAAGCGTTTTGTTGAGAAAAAGTAAGAAAAAAGATTACTTGATGAGCAAATTGTATGTCGATAATGAAGAGTCCAATTAAGAACCTCTGGTTTATGGATGTATGGAAAATCAGTAGTTTTCTTACGAGTTTTTCAATTTTATTATAGGAAAAATTATTATCTGAATCATGTTTGGGATGGAATTAATGCGTTAGCTCATATTATTGTCATGATTTCTTACGAGATATTTATTATGATTGAGAATGAAGAAACTCAAGTATATTACAGAGAAGTTGCACTGAATCACGCGACTTACGATTATTCAAAGGAATTTAAAATTTCTTTATTTAGTTTGATAACGACAATGAATGACATATATTTTCAAAGAAATACTCACTGAACAGAATGACTGCGTAACTGATTTATCTTGCTATTTTGAATTAGCATTTCTATTAATCAGTTGTCATGATCCGAATAGTCATGTCTATTTTTTGTCAAGAATAATTATCATCAAATAAATTGATATAGATATGCATTATTTTGTTTTTGAATATAATTACCGATATTGAGTTCTAGTTTGCAGATTAATATGTAATACTAGTAATACAACATTCTTTTTAGTCGACTTGGTCAGAACTAACGAATACAAAAGTTTAAATTTTGTAATATAATATTTATATCTTACAAGAGATTTATGCGGAATGCAGATCAGAATGTTTGGAGAGAAAAATCAATTTTATAATAATTTCCATAAGTCCATTAGGAAAAATGGACTCCGTATGGTTGTCATACATCATGTTTCAGCTAATATAATTTTTTCCTAATTTGTTAATTACACGTCGAGGGTGACTAATTATTTACGTATTCATGATGATGATAATGATAATGAATCAAATGATAGAGTACATACAGTTACCTTAAATTTTTCTTTTTGGGACTGTATCAACGATTGAACTAATGTATGTGTTTCATTTTCAAATCACTGCATGGCAAACGTCGAACAGAATACATATAAATTACTAGTCGCTTAACATATGAAACTGACCGAACGTTCTTCGCAAAAGAAATCAAAAGTTTATTAAATTGATGTTGCGTTTTATTTTTACTATGTGCAGTAAACCAAACGTGTCGGCAAAAAATTTTGAATAAATTATGTTAATCCTTACAAGATACTATTCACTATATGTTTGCTTGTTGTGAATAAATATTATTCTGATGAATTTTACATTTCTCAAATAGTTGATTAGTGAAAATAAAATTATAATTCATTGTTAATTCTATTGGAAATAAGGGCTATTCATAATGTTAAATTGAGTTCAATGTATTCTATCAATTCCAAAGCTAAACTACAACAATAAAATGCATCATCAATTGATCGATTGATGAATGAACGGAATGTATGCATCTCACAATGATTACATCTAAACTGGTTGTGTAGATATTTGTTTTTATCATAACCGCATAATTGATCAAGTTTATAAATATATTCAAAATCAGCTAAATATTAATATGGTCGCTATTAAGAAAGCTAAGAGATGAAATTCTCTGCTGCTTCATAGTGCCAGAATATTATTATTATTATTATTATTATTATTACTATTGATGATAGGGCTGACTGTATTTAAGGCTATCAATTAAATAGAAAAAACTAAAAGTGATCGATACGAACAACATTAACAATGATATTTTAGATTATAGTGCAGGCTCTTTTTAAACAAAACATCTTTTGAGTTGATTCAATTGCAAAACAAATATCAACAGATGCATTTGTTAAGTCTGTGTACGAAATTATTCGATGAATTATTGATATAATTTTTGTCATAGGTCATATATGTGAGAAAGACAATTGTTAATGAACTAATTCTTACTTTTATTGTCCAGTATACGAAGAAAAAGCATCCTCATCGCTTTCGTTTGATTAAAAAAATAAAAAAAAAAGTAAATGAAATGGTGTACACAACTATCTGTTTACGAAACTTAAAAAAAAGGTGCCCTGATCTCAATTTTCGCAAAATTTCATTTTTTATCAAATAGAAATATCAGAACCTACGTTATGAGTATTGGAACATTTAAATAGAATTTTTTTCTTTTTCACTTACAATTCGTTTGATGAAGCTTGGCGAGATAGCAACCGACATATTTATTTCATTTCAATTAGATCAGTGTCTCGTGCTGGCAAGAAGTAAAAAAAAACCTAATGAGCTCTAATTTATTTTTCGGAAGATCTCTGCTCTATAATATCTTTTATTTCTAAACTTTTTGAAAGTAGTTTAATTGATCTCAGGTTCAAAAATGAGTAAAAAGATAGCATGCAATGAATTCATTCTTATTACATAGGTTCACAGCACGTCATTTCAGACGCTTTCTAAGCGCGGCTCAAGTCTTTTTCATACAGAAAATCCAAGATCAATTATCACATTTCATTCGAGATGTTATATCTAAAGATATAAAAGTATCTGCTTAGTTTATTTTAAAATTTTAATTGTTGAACAAGCCGAGTCGTATTTCATTTGATAGTAAAATGTCTAATAAGGAGCTTTGATTTATCAGACTTTCTTATCGGAGTTCAATTGGAAATCGAAGTAAATGTCTAGTTCAGAGGTAGCTACTTTTTCTCAGTTGCTGTTTAGAAACTTCTCTTGTATTCGTCTCCTAAAGTGGATGACGATAAATTAAAATGTTCAGAACAAATCTTTTCGATTTAATTATTCTTAAGTTTAAAGCACAGTGTCATTTGATTAATCTTTTGATTTTGAATATACGTAAATAAAGTCTTTCCAGAAAATTCACACAGAAACACGTAATAAAAAAATGTCAATTTGGTGACATACATCTGATCTTATGGGTTTCGTGACGTTTTTTTTTCTGTAACAAGGAAATGACCTAATTGAGGTATCAAAAGAAGGTCAAAGATAATAAAAACAAAGTCTATTAAGGCTGTGAATTTTCAAAAGCTCATTGAACATGAAAACACTACTAAAAATATCCCTAGTTGACTCACGATGTATATTTTTAAAGCTCAGTTTTTCGATGTTTTCACATGTTACAATCTTTCTGATGAACTTCTATCACAAACAAATGAAAATGTTCATGAAACTCAATTGAACAGCAAGTAATTCATGATTTTGAACATGCAAGAAAATGAACAAAAAGAAATGCAGGCGTGTGTGCTAGTCCTTCTCGCATCTTAATACACTGATTGTTTTATCAGTATCCACAAAGAGATTGCGCCAAACTAAAATTTTGAAAATGAATTTAATCGATTCTTCAAATTAAAATAGTGGATTTGTGTTAAAAATAAATTCAATTCACTGGTTGTTATTTCATAAACATGTTTGTAATTTTTACCAATTTTTATAATTAAACCGTTCACAAAACTCTACGAGATTCCAAGATGATATCATTATTTATTTCTCCAGTTTTGTTTTTGAAGAAATGAATATTCTAATATTCTGAAATCTATATTGATATTGCTACTGCTCATAGTAAGTATTT